AGGAATTGCGTCACTGCAGACGGTAAATCTAGGGAACTCGGCAGCCAATAATTGAAGAAGTTGCTCCGAATGCAACGAGTAAGTTCCCCTCGGTGAGTTTGCTGCAACTGTAAGGATAACTAAGAGTAGCGACCGTTTTGTCGGCCACATTTCCGTCAAAGCCACAGTTTTCCTGAAAGCGCATTGCTCACTGTGGAACCTTTATGGCATAGTATCTGGGCAACTAGATATGTACGTCAGTATGTGGGTCTTCAATTCCGTACCGTTGTGATTTCGAATGTGTGGTACACGGACAGGAGACCAGATGTATTGCTTGCCGTGCTATGAGTACCAGGCCTTTGCTGTTTGAATTTTTTAAAAATGCCAGATGGATTTACTGTTGCGGTTTTTTCTTCCAGAGTTGATGTCAGAGATCGATCGTTTGCGCCGGCAGGCGAACCTAGCGAAAACACCCAGCAGCCCCCTGGCTAGTCAGATTAAAAACCTCAAGGCTCTCCTCAGGGCCCGTGAATGTGAAGTCGCATTTCTGACCAAGTAAGAATTTCTATTCACGACCGAATGCGGCCTACTTTCTATTCTTTTTATTTCCTATTCAACAGTGTCCGGACCGATGCAAATTTCAGTTGCCAATTGGCTATAACGCTGTTCTGACTAGTAATTTTGTCCTCCACACGGTGACGCAAATTGTAGCTGCTAATTGGCGCCCACACTATATGACTATATAACTGTAATAACACTTTTGCAATTTTAATTGTTCGTTGCACAGTTTTTCAAGTCTAACAACGACCTAGGAATCCTCATTATCCCGAAGAATGTGCCTCCTTGAAATTATATTGATATTCGGGACAAGATGGCTGTCCTATGTCCATTTAGATTCAACCACTGACACCGCAAAGTGAATGACGTTATAGTTGTTTCAAAATCCTTTTTTGATAATATTTATTACCTAAAATGGCATTAAAGCATTTTGTATTAGAACCCTGTTGCACTTAACATCCTATACAAATAACCTGAACCGTCTACGCTAAACTGTGCGGATGCTGACGGGGCTCTAGTGTGAGTTCCAAGCCACAATGGGCGATTATGTCCCATAATGCGACGGTAGGCGCCCACCTGCCATTGTAAATATACCCGATCGAACCGATACGACAACGAGTTCCTGGCTCATTCTTTAGAACGTTCAACCGGTCGTGGGTTAGAGCGTCAGGAGATGTAAAAGCCGAGTTTGGGTTTGGCTGGCTGATGTCTTCTAACAAGCCAGAAATGGCCATCACGGTTTCATCTGTCTTCGTCAGTGATGTTCTTTGGCCAAAATTGTAGTAAAAATTAGATGGAACAAACTGTATATGGCTGCTGGCCTACAGATATATTTAGTTTGGGAGCTCGAAGCGTCCGGGTAACAGTAAAACAGTTTACGAAGCTACAATTTGGGGTTCTTTACTATAACAATAGCGATTTGGAAACGAATTTCTCTCTTCCTCACAGCTTTCTTCTGATTTTGGCATAAATCCTTTTTATTTGTAATCTCACTATTGTTTTAGTGAACTAACTCGGAGAACTACCGAATCGGCTTATCTGAGGTCGGAAAGTCAAAGGGTCGTTGATCAGCTTGTTGAACCCAAGTTCATCATACCACCACCACCGCCGTTTCAATCTTCCCAAGTTCCCACAGAAGCTAGCAGGACTCCGCTGAAGGCACTGAATGTATCGCCCTTGCAACTGTCGAAACCCAAAACGTGAGTTGATGTTGTTGTGAACCTTCTTTGAGTACCTTCTTCTCAGACGTATACTAGTGCTTGAATGCATGTGCATGTCCTTGATGCTTTGTCATTTTTGACTTGGAAACATTTGTTCCCCGGTACGAATTTAAAGAAAGCGTAAACAGCGGGATTTATTAAATTGAACCAATTTCGCGACGGCTTTTCAACTGCATCCTGTCGTTGCATGAGTCAGCTAGCGGTTAAAAGCATACACCAGATTGAATTTCACAGAATGTTAAAACATAATAACAAGGGTCATAATTCAACGTAAATAATGATAAATTGAAGGGCACTTAATTAAATCAGCCTATAGGGAAGAAGGGGGAAAGGAAGTTAGCGCCAACGAAGTCGGAATTAAAACTAGCTGCCTAATTACCAAGGTAATTGGAGATTGACCACGTGGTCTAGTTGCTTGCACAGGTCGGGTTTCTCCCGCCGTATGTAGACTGCCTCCAAGTATCGCAGGGTCCGATTTGTTCGTGTCCGAACAAGTACTCAGAATGTGGTTTTGAGGTCGGCAGAGTGACCACTGTCTAGCGGGTGTTAAGTAATCGAAGATCGTGGAACTCTGTCTTCTTGTTTGAAAAGCCAATTAGGCAAGTCTTCAGCGGCCCTGGCTGCACGTTGCCTTTGCGTACGCCCAATGTACTTGCATACATAAGTGCACCTGAATTCATGGGGGTGGGGGAGGGCAGTTATCTAAGGAATGGCAGTTCAGCTTTCAGTGAAAGTCCTAATTCACGGTAAGCTCAACAGGACCCTGAAGACGAAGGTATATGTGTAGCGGCCGAGGACATTGAGGTTGGCACGCACACGAACGGATAAAAGACTTGAAAAGATTCCAGTTAACGGGAGTACTGAACAGGGCTGCCAAGCGCTAGAGCAATTAGACGAACGGAACTTTTATGGTGAAAAACCGAAGGAATAGGTAAGAACTAGTCTACTGTATATAAATGTACAATTACACGGAAAGTAAATAATATGCAGTAAGAAAATAGATTACACCGGTAAAGTCCTCTAATGTCCGATCAGTTACCGGCGGGAATACAGCGCGCGATGCAACTGCAAGGGCGGGACAGGGCCAACGGCTGCGAGGGAGAAGGGACACTTGATCACATCACTTCCATCCTGGGTTCGTGCTAAAATGGTCGAGCTCGGTGCACTTAAACAGCCATTCAGTTTCCTAGGTCTTTACATATGAAGGGGTCATCAACCTGCATGAAGTCCTACGCTGCCACAGTCATCATCTGTTATGCATATACCGCCACTGTATGCCTGCCTACTGCAAGTGAAAGACCACCCATTGAGCTGAGTAAGGCGACAAAGTAAGCGTGCTCTTTCGACGCATGTTCACTTATAATTGATACTCTCACAACTTTAAACAACCCTACAGACAAACAAAATCCACTGTAAGATCAACAGTCGAAAGTGTAGTAGTCATTAGCGTGGGCGCAGAACCTGTCTGAAACAATTTTCTTGCCCACAACTCATTCTCATCCCACGCGATTTTAAAGTAGATATTTCGCCAGCCTCGTCCATTTGCAAGCACCTTGTGAAGATCCAGTTCTAAGTTCTATTACAAGGAGTCACGACGACAACAGCTGCTAGCTTTAGTTGCGAGATGGCACCTAGACATGGCAGTTTCCGTCTATTCAGGTGTAAACTCAATCCTTGGAAAGCTTGAGCTAATAATGTTTCGGAGCATTCCCAATTGATCATTTTCAATACTAAAAACCTGTCACCTATATCGCACAGGCGCAACTTAAAGTTAATTCGAAAAAAGTAGTAACTCCTAATTATTGCAAGATAACTTAAAAATTAGTCCCTTTCTGATGTCTCTTGTATTTCTTAGTAAATGTACAATTGCTCTCCGAACGCAAGCCTGCGAGTTCCAACAAAGCACCCGCAGTAACACATGGTAACCTTAGGGTACTCTTATTCGCAACTTTTATTTCTTATGGTTTCCAACTCTTCTCTCTAGGTCACTTCCGTCCCGTGCATTGAAATATACTGGCGAAGAGGAAAACAGTCCCGCGGACTCCACTTACCTTCGCGATCGTTGGGCTCCCGACGGCCAAGATGCCACTAGCGGAAGCTCATGTGGTATTCTTTGTGACGAGGGCATAACCGCTCCGACTATCCTTGGAGAATTTCCTGTCAGCGCCGTCGTCGATGATGCTCATTCAGACGGCAACATCAACTCCGCGTTGCTCCCGACCTGCGAGCGGCTGGATGCTAAGCCGGTCGGTGCCCCCTCTGCCGACGTAAGCATACGTACTAACCCGTCTTCCTATTTGATTTTTCTTGAACCTGTTCAACTTTATCAGTTGATCTTTTCCGTGAAAGGCACATATGCGTCGGTTATCCGAAGTAACGCAGCGAAAATCATGATTTTTGTAGGCAGTGTCTTGCTCCCATTACCGCCAAGGAACCAATCAATCACGGTGACCTCGAATTATCTACCTCTTGGGTCCTTAATGACCGGGCTGTAGTCGACCGGCAGCCGAAATGTTGACAACCACATGCGAAAGGGTATCTAAACAATATTTTGAACGGGATTAATATTTGCAAGATGCTTTTCTCAACAAAAAACTCAAGTTGATAAGTCTCGTTTTTTAGTACCCCTGGTATTTGTTTATCGTTTTGGATCATGTCTCACTTCTTGTGTGTATTGTATAGTTCAATCGTCTGTCGACTGTTACAAAGTGGCATTTTTTTTCATTTTCAAACCTTTTTTCACAATACTTAGTATTCCAAAATGACATACGGCCATGTTTACCCCAATGAAACCCCATTCTCACGTCTTGTATTCTACCACCTCTAAACATCTCAAGCACGAAACGCAAACCGAAGGACAGACGCCTATAGCAAGGGTTTCAGTGGCCGTCAGCGCAGAACTCGAGTTGGTTACCTCAAAACAGTTGACAGAGCAAGGTACCAACACGTCTTTTGCGCCTTCAGCAGCAGAACAAGGCACCAACACGTCCTTTGCGCCTTCAGCAGCCGAGCAGGGCACCAACACGTCCTTTGCACCTTCAGCAGCGGAGCAGGGCACAAACACGTCTTTTGCGTCTTCAGCAGCGGAGCAGGGCACCAGCACGTCCTTTGCGCCTTCAGCAGCGGAGCAGGGCACCAACACGTCCTTTGCGTCTTCAGCAGCAGACGCGGAGTTAGTTACCGCAAAACAGTTGGTAGAGCAGGGCACCAACACG